AGCAGAGGGAGCAGGGGATCCAAATGCTAATGGGGTGCTAGCTTAAATGACTTAAACAAGCTGTGCTACAACTCTTGTTGTACTTTTACGTTAACTCGACATTCACGACTGCAGGTTTTCCACGGATGCAGTGAAATATCATGAAACACGATACAGTATTAACAGAGAGCCTTTCAAGCCTGAGAGGCAAAACCATCTTCTTTCAGTTTTTCAGTCTACTCTCACTGCTTTGAACACGAAGACTCATCAGACGAGTGTGACGATGTGAAGGACAGTTCAAACATCATGTCTAAGTCACTTTTCTTCTCTTTTCAGGATTATAGAGACATTTTAACAAGAATATTTTGTGGAATTACTTTTATGTGGAGCTTTAAAACTCCTATAAATGTGAACACATGGATCACTTTCACCATTCTCAGTTCTGGCTCTCTACCATCTCAAAGATCTCTGCTGCCATCTGGTATAGAAACATCGTATGATTTCAGGAAACTACAACCTCTGCGCTCATATATTGTTAACAGTAGGTTAAAGCTATGAAGTTGTACCTGTGGGTGGCTGTAGTTCAGGAGGTTGAGCAGGTCAGCTACTAATCAGAATCAGCTTTAGTTAGGCTGCTCCAGGCTGCTTGGTTAAGATACGAACCCCAAGTTGATCTCCAGTGCTTCCATCAGAGTATGGATGTGAATGTTAGGCAGAAAGCACTTAAGCCTAGAAAAAAGTGCTTGTGTGATATTAAGTGCTTTGTATAGTAGAAAAGTGCAGTAGGAGAATCAGTCTGTTCACTGTTTAAATGAACTAATCATATTCAGCATTTGTGTTTTGTTTGGCAGGGATGCTACAAAAACATACATATATAGAAAATAACGAAGCACTGGAGGCAGGAAGTTAGCAAAGACAACACGCAACAGAATCACTTTATAGCAAGTCTGTGAAATTAGCTTTTAGAAGTGATTTAAATCAGGTCACTGATCGTGTGAGCCTGAATTCCTCAGACAGGCCAGAAGGAAAGAACCCATATCAGCACTGTCAGTAAAAGCTACTGGTTTTTGTTTTAGTATGGAAACTTGGAGACAGGATATGCCCTTCAATGCACATGTTAAACAAATATGTAGGAATGCTTTCTTCCATTTGTGCAGAAATATCCTGTC